CCTCATTTTCTCTTGCTGCCACCATGTAAGAAGTACCTTTCACCTTCCGCCATGATTCTGAGGCCTCCCCAGCCATGTGAAACTGTAAGTCCAATTAAACCTCTTTCATCCCAGTCTTGCATATATCTTTATCAGTAGAATGAAAACAGACTAATACAGTAAATTGGTACCAGTAGAGTTGGGTGTTGCTGAAAAAATACCCAAAAATGTGGAAGCGACTTTGGAACTGGGTAACAGCCAGAGGTTGGAACAGTTTGGAGGGCTCAGAAGAAGACAGGAAAATGTGGGAAAGTTTGGAACTTCCTAGAGACTTGTTGAATGGCTTTGTCCAAAATGCTGATAGTTATACGGACAATAAGGCCCCGGCTGAGGTGGTCTCAGATGGAGATAAGGAACTTGTTGGTAACTGGAGCAAAGGTGACTCTTGTTATGTTTTAGCAAGGAGACTGGTGGCACATTGCCCCTGCCCTAGAGATTTGTGGAACTTTGAACTTAAGAAAGATGAGCCAGGGTATCTGACAGAAGAAATTTCTAAGCAGCAAAGCATTCAAGAGGTGACTTGGGCACTGCTAAAGACATTCAGTTTTATAAGGAGCAGAGGATACAAGTTTAGAAAATTTGCAGCCTGCATATGCAATAGAAAAGAAAAACCGTTTTCTGGGGAGAGAGTCAAGTTGGCTGCAGAAATTTGCCTAAGTAGCAAGGAGCCTAATGTTAATTCCCAAGACCATGGGATAAATGTCTCCAGGCTGTCACAGACCTTCACAGCACCCCCTCCCATGACAGGCCTAAAGATCCAGGAGGAAAAAGTGGTTTCATGGGCCTGGCCCAAGGTCCCCGTGATGTGTGCAGCCTAGGGACTTGGTGCCCTGTGTCCCAGCTGCTCCAGTCATGGTTGAAAGCGGCCAATGTACAGCTCGGACTGTGGCTTCAGAAGGTGGAAGCCCCAAGCCTTGGCAGCTTCCACATGCTGTTGAGCCTGCGCGTGCACTGAAGTCAAGAATTGAGATTTGGGAACCTCCACCCAGATTTCAGAAGGTGTATGGAAACACCTGGTTGTCCTTGCAGAAGTTTGCTGCAGGGGTGGGGACTTCATGGAGAACCTCTGCTAGGGCAGCGTGGAAAGGAAATGTGGAGTCAGAGCCCCCATACAGAGTCCCTACTGACGCACTGCCTAGTGAGGCTGTGAGAAGAGGGCCACCATCCTCCAGACCCCAGAATGATAAATCCACCAACAGCTTGCACTGTGTGCCTGGAAAAGCTTCAGACTCTCAATGTCAGCCCATGAAAGCAGCCAGGAGGGAGACTGTACCCTGCAAAGCCATAGGGGTGGAACTGCCTAAGACCATGGGCACCCACCTCTTGTTATCAGTGTGACCTGGATGTGAGACCTGGAGTCAAAGGAGATCATTTTGGAGCTTTAAGATTTGACTGTTCCATTGGATTTCAGACTTGCATGGGTCCTGTAACCACTTTGTTTTGGCCAATTTCTCCCATTTGGAATGGCTGTATTTACCCAATACCTGTATCCCTATTGTATCCAGGAAGTAACTAGCTTGCTTTTGATTTTATAGGCTCATAGGCAGAAGGGACTTGCTTTCTCTCAGGTGACACTTTGGACTGTGGACTTTTGGGTTAATGCTGAAATGAGTTAAGACTTTGTGGGACTGTTGGGAAGGCATGATCGGCTTTGAAATATGAGGAGATGATATTTGGAGAGGCCAGGGCAGAATAATATGGTTTGGCTGTGTATGGGGGCCAGTCTTCTCCATGCTATTTTCATAATAGAAAATAAGTCTCACAAGATCTGATGGGTTTATCAGGAGTTTCTACTTTTGCTTCTTCCTCATTTCCACCATCTTAAGAAATGCCTTTTACCTCCCGCCATGATTCTGAGGCCTCCCCAGCCATGTGAAACTGTAAGTCCAATTAAACCTCTTTTTCTTCCCAGTCTCAGATGTGTCTTTAGCAGCAGCATGAAAACAGACTAATACACATACTTTCTGTAACTTGCCTGATACTCTAAAGATCATCTTTATATTGATTTAAAAAAATTTTAACTTTGTGTAATCCCCATAAACAAGCATATGTTGACTTTTTTGCTGAATTTTACTCATTGATAATGTATTGAAATGTCTACTTTATATCTATCTATCTATCTATCTATCTATCTATCTATCTATCTATCTGTATCTCCTCTTCTTAGCAGAAACTCTAGAATCCTCCTTTTTTGTTATATCTATGGATAACTATCCTTAAATGTAAGCAGTGCTCACAATTCTGTTCTGTACTATTACTATATTACCCATGCTTACAACTTAACTAGGGAGACGTAGGTTGTAGGCATGGGTAATATGGTAATAGTACAGAACAGAATTGTGAGCACTGCTTGCATTTAAGGATAGTTATGCATAGATATAACATGGCTTATGAGTACATCTCAAAATAAATAAAGCAAAGTATAGAAGTATTTTAGCCTTCGATAATGAAGACATAAGTTTGTGTCAAGTGATTAAATAGTAAGAGTAGTGTAAAGCCCTTTCACTAGTGTCAAAAAACTATTCTTTTACTCTGTTACCAACATAAAATTTGTGTGTAATATACTTAAAATTTTTAGAGCCTCTGAAATATGCAACTTATTTTCTTTAAGGATAAAATTGTTTGAGAAATCCAGTTTCAAGAAAATGGCATTTTATCCTTACTTTGTGAAGCTTCCTCACCCCTCTTCTTTCATCCAACTGGTGCTGTTAAAAGGTGATACACCTAGTCAAAGAAGCATTGTTCCAAAGGTCCTGACCTAGAATAAGAAAACAAAAACTGACTTCATAGCTAGGATGACAACTGTAGCTCCATTACCCCTGAATTGCTTACTTTTGTTCTTATTCTTTCAAACCATGATTTTGCCAATGTGATATTCAGTGACCCAAGAGGGGAGAAGTCTGATTTCTTTATGATGTTAATACCCTTTCCCCTCATATTTTAAAATAACTGGTTTTAGGCCAATAAGTATCTACTCAAAGAAGCTCAAAGTCTTATATAATTTAAGAACACTGGAGGAGGTTTAAATACTTATATACAGTCACACTTCATTTTATTCCACTTCACTTGTATATACATAGCACTTTGCAGATAATTGTGTTTTTCATAAATTGAAGGTTTGTGGCAACCTTGTATTGAGGAAGTTCACTGACACTATTTTTCCAAAACCATGTGTTCACTTCATGTCTCTGTGTCACATTTTAGTAATTCTTGCAATATTTCAAACTTTTCCTTTATTATTATACCTGTATGGTGATCCACGGTCAGTCATTTTTGATGTTGCTATTGCAATTGTTGTGGGGTGAACTGAACTGTGCCCCTATAAGACAGAAAACCTAATGGATAAATGCAAGTGTTCTGACTGCTCCACTGACCTATAATTTTTCCAGCTCTCTTCTCCTTGGACCTTTTTATTTCCTGGGGCAAAGTCCAATAATAACCCTACAATGGCCTCTAAATGTTCCAGTGAAAGAAAGAATCATATGTCCCTCTCTTTAAATCAGAAGCTGGAAATGATTAAGCTTAGTGAGGAAAGCATATTAGAAGCTGAGGTGGCCTGAAAGCTAGGCCTCATTTATCAGTTAGCCAAGTTGTGAATGCAAAGGAAAAGCTATTGAAAGAAATTAAAAGTGCTACTCCAGTGAACACACAAATGATGAGAAAGCTAAACAGTAATTTTGCTGATGTGCAGAAAGTTTGAGTGATCTGGATACAAGATCAAACCAGGCATAACATTGCCTTAGGCCAAAGCCTAATTCAGAATAAGTCCCTAACTCTCTTGAATTCTATGAAGGGTGAGAGAGGTGGGTTAGCTGCAGAAGAAAAGTTTGAAGATAGCAGAGGTTGGTTCATGAAGTTTAAGGAAAGAAGCCATCTCCATAACATAAAAGTACAAGGTGAAGCAGCAGGCAGTGATGGAGTAGTGGCGGCAAGTTATCCAGAAGATGTAGCTAAGATTATTGATGAAGGTGGCTACGCTAAATAACAGATTTTCAATGTGGATAAAAAGTCACAGGTTGACTTTCTTTTTAGGGACCAATACAGCTGTTGTCTTTAAGTTGAAGTCAACGATGATTTATCATTCTGAAAATTCTAGGTCCCTAAAGAATGATGCTAAATCTACTTTGTTTGTGCTCTGTCAGTGGAACAACAGAACGTGTAGGACAGCAGATCTGTTTATAGAATGGTTTACTGAATATTTTAAGACCATTCTTGAGACCTTCCTTTCAAAATATTACTCCTCTTCACAGTGCAGCTAGTCACCCAAGAGCTCTGACATGAGGTATAAGTAGAATAATGTTTTCATGTCTGCTCTCTATTCTTCAGTCCATGGATCAAGGAATAATTTTAACTTTCAAGTCTTATTATTTAAGAAACACATTTCATAAGGCTATAGCTACCATAGATAGTGATTCCTCTGATGGATCTGGGCAAAGTAAATTGAAAACATTCTGGAGAGAAAGAAAACTTTCTAGGTAGGTGTCACTAAAAACATTTGTGATTCATGAGAAGAGGATAAAATGTCAACATTAACAGGAGTTTAGAAGAACTTGATTCCAACCCCCATGGAGGACTTTGAGGGGTTCAAGACTTCAGTGTAGGAAGAAAGTACAGATGTGGTAGAAATGGCAAGACAACTAGAATTAGAAGTGGAGCCCGAAGATGTTACTGAATTGCTGCAATTTCATGATAAAAGTTGAACTGATGAGGAAATCCTTCCTCATAAGAAAACACAGAAAACCTGCTGCTGGTGGATATGATGTGAACATTGTTGAAATGACAACAAAGGATTTAGAGTATTTTATAAACTAAGTTGATAAAGCAGTGACAGGGTTTGAAAGGATTGACTCCAATTTTGAAAAAGTTTCTACTATGCTACTAAACAGCATCAGATGCTACAGAGAAATTTGTGAAAGGAAGAGTCAATTGATGCTATAAACTTTATTATTGTTTTATTTTAGGAAATTGCCACAGCCACTGCAACTTTCAGCAACCACTACCCTGATCAGTCAATAGCTATTAACATCAAGGCAAGATTCCCTACCAGCCAAAATATAATGACTCATTGATGGCTCAGATGATCATTAGCATTCTTTAGCAATAAACTATTTTTTAACTAAGGTATGTACATTTTTTAGAATTGCTATTGAACACTTAATAGACTACAGTATAGTGTAAACATAAATTTCATATGCACTGGGAAACCAAAAAATTTGTGTGACTTGCTCTATTGTGATATTTGCTTCGTTGTGGTAGTCTCAAACCAAGCTTGCAATATCTCTGAGTTATACCTGTACATTCTCACTCCTTTTTTAGAATTCAGTACTATTGGCATTATGAAAATATTTTTAGATGAAAGCTTAATGTTTCTTATAAACAGTGCTGAAACTTTAGCATGCATTGGGATCACCTAAAGGACTAATTAAAACAGAATGCTGGGTCCCACCTCCAGAGTTTCTAATTCAGTAGAGCTGAGGTGGGGCCCAAGAGTTTGCATTTTAAAAAAAATTCCAGGTGGGAGGGACCACACTATCAGAAGCACTGATGCAGATCATTTGATGATATATATTTTCAAAATCAAAGCTGACAGGGGTTGTCATACCTACTCAAGAATAGCATGTATACTACTTAGAAGATGGTAAGTCATTATCAAAGCCAGAGGGATACTAATGATGACTTACAGTTTCCCAGGTTCTTAATTGACCATTTTCATCCACCTTGGCTGATGTCTAGTGTAACTTAATGCTTAGTAAAGTAAAAAATCTTTTTTTTTTTTTGAGATGGAGTTTCACTCTAGTTACCCAGGCTGGAGTGCAATGGCGCGATCTCGGCTCAAAGCAACCTCTGCCTCCCGGGTTAAGGCAATTCTCCTGCCTCAACCTCCTCAATAGCTGGGATTACATGCATGTGCCACCATGCCCAGCTAATGTTTTGTATTTTTAGTAGAGACGGGGTTTCACCATGTTGACCAGGATGGTCTCGATCTCTTGACCTTGTGATCCACCAGCCTCGGCCTCCCAAAGTGATGGGATTACAGGCTTGAGCCACTGCTCCCGGCAAAAAATCTTTAAGCAATGTCTTTCCCCTAAGACTGTTATCTAAAATATGTTTTTACCTGTTTATATCTTCTTTGATAGCTGTTAAAGTGATGCGGCAACTGAGAATTACAATTGTTGATTTAAATCATGGAATATAAAAAAAGATATAATAGTTGTTATGTCCTTCATAATTTCTAAAGCCATTATGAGATCTTAATTAAAAGAAACAAAAAATAAAACCTTCAATTTTTCCCTAGCCCTTACTCTACTTTTTATTTAAATGTAATTACAAAAATTCTGAATAGCAAAAATTTAACTGGGAAAATGAAATTAGCATTCTTAATACTACTTAGTGGCCTTTAGATCTAGGACATATGCTTAATATGTATTCTGTTGATTTTTCATAGAGCCTGTTAATTAACACGTCTCAATTACCTATTGAATAATCTCTCTAAAATGCCTATCTGTGATTATTATTCATGAGATTACACTCCCATTTTAGCAGTACTGTGCGTATCTGTGATTATTATTCATGAGATTACACTTCCATTTTAGCAGTACTTTTCAACTCTGAGAAGACAAACCCAAGGGATTCTAGAAGAGCATCTGCTTGGAGAATGATTTCTCCAGTAATGGTATCTGAAGGTTGAATAATAACAAGTGAATAGATGTAGACATTGACCAAGAATAACTAAGAGAGACAGTTAATACAATCTGGGGAGGCATCAAATTAGCTATGGGGCAAATATCCTAGACTCAGGAATTAGACAGTATTAAGGTTGCAGGGGGGCATATTGAATTGAAAGAAGCAAGAATTTAGCAAACAAAATGATAAACTACAACAGGTAATTAAATAAAGCAGCTTCTTATATATTCTCCAATAAGAATATATTGTGGAATATATAGATGTTCCACAATATATTCCAATATATTTTTTGGAATGTTTCCTCATCTTGGAAACATTGAGGGATGGAGGGATACGCAAGCCAAGATGGATATTAGACGCCTAACTTTGACATTAGGCACTGAGAAATTCTTGAGTAGGGAGCTTCTGCTGTGTGAGTCTGATCTTCATCACCTTTAAAAAGCAATTAATAGGCCAGGCGCGGTGGCTCAAGCCTGTAATCCCAGCACTTTGGGAGGCCGAGGTGGGTAGATCACGAGGTCAAGTGATCGAGACCATCCTGGTCAACATGGTGAAACCCCGTCTCTACTAAAAATACAAAAAACATTAGCTGGGCATGGTGGCGCGTGCCTGTAATCCCAGCTACTCAGGAAGTTGAGGCAGGAGAATTGCCTGAACCCAGGAGGTGGAGGTTGCGGTGAGCCGAGATTGCGCCATTGCACTCCAGCCTGGGTAGCAAGAGTGAAACTCTGTCTCAAAAAAAAAAAAGCAATTAATAAAATCTAGTCTGCTTACTTCACAACATTTTGAGCATTAAATTTAATTATATACAAATGTGTAGTTTTGGTGTCTGTTCAGTGAAAATTGATTCTCATTTCCCCAAAAGTAATTTAAATGTTTTAATCAAATGTGCAGTGTTGACATCTTTACCTATCCCAGTACTTTTATACTTTTAAATAAACATTTTGGTCATTTAAATGAAGGAAAAATACCTATATTTTCTTTTAAAACTCAAATGTCATAGCTTTTTAACTATTCTAATTATTTCTGCTAATAGAAACAAATTGATGTGCAGACCACAAAATAATAAATATTTTTGTCTAGTTTTTGGGAAAAAGAAAAGACTATGTTATACTTTAAGAAAGTGCAAACTTAGTTTCATTTTAGCAATTCCATAGTTGAATCTGTCACTAAGTAATCATTAGCTAAAGAAAAAAAATCTAGTAACAGGGCACACAAGTATATAAGTAAAAATTTTAAAAGATTACCAACGTTAAGAATAAAATACAGTTACACAACTTTAAAATATTTCTAATGAGTGATAAGAAAAACTTGTCAATGGAATTTCTGAGGTCAATAGCCAATTTTTAACTTCCTGCTAATATGGCAATTATTTAACTTAAAAAACAGACACATTTCCTCGGTCAGTTTTTGGACATCTTATTCTGTAACTTCCTATTGATTAACATCACCTTTAACATTTTAGTACTTGACTTAACATTTTATCATTTGAATAATTCATATTTTATTAAACTCTTAATTTTTATAGGAACAACCAAACCATCAACCAACATTTTAACCTATTCATCTAAACTAAAATTTTTCATCCTCATTTAATCTTTCAATGAAGATGCTTCTGGTTACATGTAACAGAAAATGTAGCTTATTTATTATCTCACATTAGAGGAAGTCTAGTAGTAAGGCAGGCCCAGAGTTGGTTCATTTGTTAGCTTAATTATATATTAAAGGACTGGGCTTCTTCGAGTCACTACTCTGCCATTCTTAGTATTATCTTTTCTCAGGGGAAGGGTGGAAGGAGGGATAAAAAGGTGGCTGCTGTACTTCCAAGCATTCAGAATCATTGAAAAGTGTTGCTAAATCAGACTGCTGCCTCTAATCCCCAGAATTTGATTCAGTAAGACCCAATGGGGTGTGAGAATTTGCATTTCTAAAAATTTCCCAGATGATGCTGATGCTGCTAACAGTAGAGCCACACTAAGAAATATTAACTTAGACTAATGATCTTGGAAGCAAATGGATTTTTTTTCTTTTTAGTTGACATGTACTGGTTGTACATATTTATGCAACACAGAGTGATATTTTGATACATCTGTACTATGTGTAATCGTCAAGTAAGGGCAATTAACATATCCATCACCTCAAAAGTTTACTTCATTTTGTTGAGAACACTCCAAATCCTCTCTTCTAGGTTTTTGAAATATACAATAAATTATTGTTAACTATATTCATCCTACAGTGCTATAAAACACTATCATTTATTTCTCCTATCTAGCTGTAAGTTTGTATCCATTAACCAACTCCCCCATATTTCTCCTCCCCACTACTTTTACTAGCCTCTAGTAACCACTATTCTACTCTTTACTTCTATGAGCTCAACTGTTGAGCTCATATATGGGTGTGAACTGTGGTATTTATCTTTCTGTGCCTGACTTATTTCACTTAACCTAATGTCCTCCAGGTTCATCCACATTGCCATGAATGACAGGACTTAATTCTTATGACTGAATTGTTTTCTATTGTGTATATATTCCACATTTTCTCTATCCATTCATTTGTTGATGGACTTGTAGTTTGATCCCATTATCCTGGCTATTGTGGATAATGTTGCATGGGGGTACAGATACCTCTTCAATATACTGATTTCCTTTTCTTTGGCTAGGTACCAGTAGCAGGATTGTTGGATCATGTGGTAGTTCTATTTTTAGTTTTTTGAGGAACTTCCATACTGTTTTCCATAATGGCTGTACTCATTTACAATCACACTAATATTGTATGAGTTTCCTTTTCTCTGTATCCTCACCAGCATTTGTTATTTTTGGTCTTTTTGATCATAGTCATTCTAACAAGTGTGAGGTGATATCGTGGTTTTGATTTGTGTTTCCCTGTTGATTAGCAATGTTGATTATATATATATATATATATATACTTGTCGGCCGTTTGCTTGTCTGTTTTTGAGAAATGTCTTCAGATCATCTGCCTATTTGAAAATCAAAATATTTGGGGGTTTTTTGAGTTGTTGATTTTTTTGAGTTCCTTGTATACCTTGGATATTTTGTCAGGTAAATAGTTTGCAAATATTTACTTCCATTCTACAGATTGTCTCTCACTCTGTTGATGATACTCTTTGTTGTGCAGAAGCTTTTAGTTTGATATAGTCCCATTTGCCTATTTTTATTTTTGTTGCTTGTGCTTTTAAAGTCTTACCCCAACATTTTTTTCCTAGACCAATGTCCTGAAGTATTTTCCCTGTTTTCTTCTACTAGTTTTAGAGCTTTGAGTCTTATATTTAATTATTTAATCCATATTGGTTTCATTTTTATATATTCTGAGAGCTAGGGATCTAATTTCAGTCTTCTTTCATGTGAATAACCAGTTTTCCCAACAGCATTTATTGAAAATAATGTTCTTATACATTATTCTTTACAGTATGTTCTTG